AATCGCTTGTCGTACCACTAAAGTCTAAACGATCACTCGTCTAAATATGTAAGGCAAAATTTGAATTTGACGATTCATTCGTTAATTTAATTAGTAAATTTGCTATTATTTATTAAACTCCGTGATATTAATGTACCTGAATAAAAAGTATCATATGTTATCCTCTGACTTATAAACCATCCCTATCTAAAAAATACTCTGATCCGTTTCTTGGGTGCTTTCTCCTTAAAACAAGGACCAACCAAAAACCAATAGACAATGAAAAACGTAAATTTTGCAATAAAAAAGAAATAATCTGGATAGAAATTATCCTATTTAGCTAACTTAAAAGTTGGAACATTTCGAAAAGTATTACGTTAAGATCGAATAAGTAATTTCGAAGTACATCGCGGACCAACATCGTGATACGGGAATTTTGTATTATAAAACATTTGTAACGTAGCTTTCAATAGTGCAAAATTAAATCGGTTCCTTAGTTTCAGAGTTTTTTACGAACAAACATACAAACTTTTTGGTATCTTTATAATATTAGAAGTTAAACAATATTCATTTCTAAATGTGTTTATAATGTCGGATATGACTTATAACTGAATCAAGGCACGTTCGTCCTACCCGTACTTCAGATGGATTATAAACCTTTGTCGTAAATTTTACTACATCAAAATTTAGATTTCGTGAGCTGACTAGAACGTAGAAGCATGCCCCCTAACAAATTGGTTTAGACCTGCTTTGGGTCAACTAACAGCTAAGGAAACTGTACTGTAAAATATTAATAGAATTCCTAATTATATTATTTTATTTTTTTATTAAATACCTTAACAGGAGATACTATATATGTACTAGGATATCCGACAGATGTTGTCTAGTCCAAACATATAAATAAATCTTCTGTACATGTCTAAATCCTAAGAAAACTAAAAAATCCTAGAACCCAACTACAGCGCCACCTACTAGGTCTAGTTGTGAATCCATCCAGAAACCCACTCCAATAATTTTTTTAATAAAATCAATCCAACTATTTATGAAGAGTTCATTAACATACACACGTACCTACAGAAGGATTATACATATTATACATATGCATATAGAGATTATGTGCACTACTTCAGAAGTGGCAAGATTTCTTTTATGACGATGTGGAATTTTAAATCATCTTTGTTAAAATATATAATTATTATCTTCATAAAAATATGAATATAATCTAAACTCAGTATTATTATTATTAATAATGTTATAATAATACAAAAATTACTTTTATAATATAAAAAAATGAATAAATAAATATACAAATTGTAATAGTAACATGACATAAACAAGCAACAACCAAACCCACTCAAACACACGCAGACACACACACACATACACATTTTTTTCTCTCTCTCGTAAGTTAGAAGTTTTCTTTGTGTAATTTTAGTTATGAAGGCCTCAGTGATAACTAAGATAAAAAAAACTTAATACGTGAAACTTGTTGACTGTCTTGTAATTATAAAATTTGGTTTGTAATGCAAATTAATTTTCACTATTATTGAGAACAATTTACGTGTAATCAATTTTGTTGTCGCTTAATATTGTGGTAGTAAATTAAAGATTTAATATTACGAAGCCAGCAGCGGACTGAAATGCTGCTGTAGTTTGTTAAATGCGTCGGTTTAAGTTTAAACATGGTAGCGACTGTAAATATTTGCTAGCGCTCCACACTTAAATTATATTAGAACTAAAACCGTAAATAATAATTAAATTTAAATAAATGATTTTAAATAAAAATGGTTACAAAACTCATATTGTTATTATCTTTGGAACTTTAAAAGAAAATCAGTATCTAAAATTATGATTTTAGCATGCATCTACTGTTGCTTTCTAAATTCCATACACTATTTTATGTTATTTTATAATAATTATTATAAACTTTTATTTAAAAGGCACAAAAACTAATAGGTGGTATTATTATACCTATGTTGATCATATAATTTTTTGCATATATCTATTTTATATATACATTAAATATGTTCAAAATAAAACTAAAATTAGGTTGATGATTTTTTTTCTGTAATTAAAAAAAATCAAATTAGAGAGGAACATAACTTGATGCTTAGATTAAACTTCATGATTACACAATTTCCTAAAACTTTTAAGTTTTTCAGTACCTACAAAGTAGATTTATTTTTTTAATATATTTTTACTTTATTGTACGCTCGCTATATATATTTCAGAATGAGTTCCGTATAATGAAATTATGGTGCATAATTATTTAAAATACAGTCTTACTCGCTATCAACTTTCATCTTAGACTCAGTAAGAAACGCGCATTGCAATGTGATTTATAGCTTACCACGCTACGGTAGCTTATTACTAACGTTTATGCTGAGGGAATACGTTGAAAGATATATGTGGTTTTGGATACAACGTAATAGTATTTTAAACTAAAATTTCATGTAAATCCTTAGGTTTTTCATTTTAAATGTGTGTTTTAGAGTAAGATAATATTTTAGTCGTATATAGTTTAAACGTATATTAGTACTATTTGCATTCTAGTACTGCCCACACTTCGTGACTTTGATTTTCATTTATTGTAAGCGCTTGTATTAAAATTATAACCATTATTGTTCCCGTCTGATTAATATATGTGTATTGATGTGTTAACATCAAAAAATATTGCCATGTTATTATTATAAATTGCCATTGCCATTAATATAAATGTTTAGAGTTATTACGTTCTCTCTTCTATTCTCCCATGACAGGGCCTTCCTGTAAGGTAGACAAGGAGGTTAGTCAAAAAAGATATATTTTTTTCTCTAGATTAAACTGAAAAATAACTATCTTGACAAATCTGTTTTATTTTGTTCGATTATTTATATTTTTTGATAATTATAGATAACATTGTAAATATTTAAATTCATATGTTATTATTGCGTATAACGAAAATTATTATTTGCATAAGAAAAATACAAAAGAAACATTTAAAATCAAGAAATATTTTTATAGTAACAATTCATATTTTATTTTATGAATATACATGTATATTAGTGATATATTTTAAAATAATTAATTCTTTTGTATCAATTTCAATTTGTGTATCAATTTTATAAGAGAAACCGATAATATGTTCAATATCGATAAGGCAAATGATGACCATAGCCCCATAATAATAATTATCATCAACGTAAGTTTCCATAGACAAAGAACATTTTAACTTTTATTTCAGTATGATAGAGTCTGTGCGGAAAGAGAACCGTCGTGGCATAAAATGGAACTAACATTATGATTTTTATATGGCTACCCAATCTAACCATCTGTCAAATGTCAAACTTTATTTCGTGTCGATTGTGTTGTTTTATTATGATTTTAATTTTGAATCATGTTGAAGAGGGTTAAAACTTTACACAGTTCGACAAGTTAAATAATATTTAATATTATACAATTCTACTAAGGAGAAAAAGCAGCAAAATACACCATTATTTACCTAAATAAAGTCACGGAACGTGTGGCAGATATGTCCGGTATGTAACAGTTTTATTTGAATGTTTATAAATTTCCTAAGTAACCTGTGGTCCCTGATATCTCAAAATATGTATAAATTAAAAGGAATTCATTTAGAAATATAATGATATTTGTTTGTTTTGTTCAAATCAATATTTTTGATAGCAGGTATAAAGAGTGTTGATACTTTTAATTTATAATGCGCTTGTCTAAGCGAGTTAGTAAAGTTAGTCTTAACTTAAAATATTTTTGTACTTTTTCAGGATTGAGTAATAATACAGTTTCTAAAATAAAAAAATGAAAGTTCCATAAATAACGGCAAATGGTGCACGCCAGGGAAAAAACGTAAAGGAAGACGTGCGTGTGTTTGTGAATGGTCATAAAACACTATTTTTAAGCGAAAGCATTAAAACAACTGTAGTGCTGAATACGTCCTTTATTTCCGATCCCCGAACTCATTTAACGTAACACTTAAAAATTTGTTGCACATGACATCTATTCAGAAATATCTTTAACAGTTATCATTAAAATCATTCCTTAAAACAATTATTAAGACGGAATCTGAAAACATTATATTCTAACATAGTTTCAAAGTATCAAGATGTTACAGTCGCACTATAGTGTTGTCAACATAACAAATATGGTAATTAAACAAAGTTGCGCCCTCAAATCTTATGACGGTTCTCTTTCTGCACAGACTATAGAGTCTGTGCGTACGTATAGACGTACGTAAATTCAATTGAAATATTTGTTTCTTTATATACTGTAGTTCAAAAATATCTGTAATATTGCACTATTACATTAGAAAAATATAAAGAAGAGTCGATAAAAGATTCCCTCATATGAAAGGCAGTATGAATTTCTAACATTAAAGCAGCTTTGCCCATGTTGCCTTTCATCATAGTTCCATAGGAGTTAAAATCATTTATTATTATTGAACGTAAGCCTATATACAAGAAGGCGGATCGGGCATTTTTGTTTACATATTTAAAGATATCCCAGTTTACGTATTCAGTGTAATAAAAATGGAATATTGAGTCTGTGATTTTGGAATGAGCCTCTTGGTAGAAATATTTGTTTTTATTCAATTCTCTTCATAAAAATATAAAAAGATTGTACATACTTATGGTATGTTTATGAAGGGATAATTTAATTGATTACAGCTAATGAGTTTGAAAAGCAATAGTAAGATTTTTTTTTATATTTTAAATAATATTTCTAATTTCTTTAGAATTTCATACAATATTATACCAGAATCTGAAAAAATCTTAATTTATATAATATTTCTGTCAACAAACAATCTGAATAGTGGGTACTTCATTGGCGTTACTATGTAAAATCATTTTAATCTCCACTGTAACTGTAAACTTTTCTCTAAACATGTGATAATAATTGTTTTGTTAAAACTTATAATGAAAATGAATGTCATTATATAAATAGGAATATATTATTTTAAATCAATTTATCAAACTAAAACGTATGCTCATAAGAAAAAATACTGTAGAAAATTCATTATAAAATTATGATTCTTCTCGAGGAGCTTCGAATTCTTTTAGAGAGAATTCTTCTGCTTGATCTTCATTGACTGGTTCGGCTATTTCATCCGCCAATCCTGTCGCTTTTGATTGTGAGGCTTCTATTTCCTCAAGTTCAGCTGCTGGTGATGGAACCTCGGCTGGTGGCTCGGTATGTGGCTCGATAGGTGACTCAGCAGGTGGCTCAGCATATGGTTCAGCAGGTGGTTCAACTTCAGCTTCTGGAGGTACCACGGTTGCTACACTTACTTTATTTTTAACCACTGCAGGCGGTTCTGGTTCGATTGGTTTCGACACATCTACTGAAACTTTCGGTCGAGCTTTGGTAACTGCAACTTCGTCTTTTTTCAGTAACTTCCCCTTTTTTGATTTAGCTTCTAATGGCAAGTACAATTTATAGTCTTGAGGTAATTCTTCTTCTGTAAAAAGACGCTCACTAAAGTATATTCTTCGTAAACGCACGTTAGCATGCACCTGAACTCGAAGAGCTTCAATATATTGTGTTCCATATGCCCGGCGTGTAAAGTCTGCTAAGTTAAATTGTATTTGATTCCATCCACCTGACAATCCAATGGGCATACTCGTACAAAAAGGTTTAATTTTAGTGGTAGATTGAAAATTTGAAATTCTAAATCGCCTCCGCATTTGTTGATCGTCTAAAATAGTTATTTCAAATGAAAAATATCGTTTTAAGTTTTTCACGATCATTACTAGGAAAGGTAGTTTGATTCCTAGTACTTGATTTCTTTTTGGACATGAAATGAAAGTTGTAGCAACATTTGTACTTACAATTTCAAGAACTATAGAATTAACTTCGTTGTCGGTTAGACGTTTTATGTGGCCATTCTTTACTTCCATGTCCCATATCGCCAAAGGATTAGAACCGCAACTATAAAATATAGATAATAATCCACTTTGATATGTATTCTTGAACATTGTTATTTTATTATTTATGACAGTTGCGTCACTATCGTCATGTTTGAATGACAATAAATACTTAATTTACATTATTAGTGACCAGCATGTATCATGCTATGAAAAATATAGAATATTTATTTTATAACCCATACTAATATAAAAAATATAAAAGTGTGTGTGTTTGTTTATTTGTTTGTTTGTCTGTCTTTTTTTCACGTTGAAACAAAGTGACGGATTGGCGTGATTTTTTGTGTGGCGATAGTTGCAGAGCTTAAGAGTGACATAGGCTACTTTTTACTGCGGGAGACTAATTCCCATGAGAAAACACGTTATAATACAATCCAGAAAAAATATGTATGATCAAAATTACTTGAAACTTAACGGTATTAATGCTCTTCAATAAAATTAAATAAATACGTGGTTTAGCATTTTTCGAAATTCATGCTATAAGGGGGTAAAATAGGGGATGAAAGTTTCTATGAAACTACCTTTTTAGAGATCTTTTTGTAGTTTTAGCGCGAGCGAAGCCGCGGGTTCTGCTAGTTTTACTATAAGTAAAATTCATACAACAGACATTTTCTTAGTTCACGTTTTACAAGGAAAATTGTGTTTAGTGTATAATGTACTGAATCTTAATAAATAATACTTGGTGTTGGCAGAACTTAGTTAACATATCAGCTAAATTATAAAAAGTAAAAGTACAAAAAGAATTGCCATTTTACAAATACTCAGTTGGTTTTTACGATTTACAAAAATAAAGTAGGAATTTTTTATTTTTATTTTTCATTTGTAATTTATAATAATTATTTAAAATACAAAGAAATTAAACACAATAAAGAAACTTAATAGAAAATTCTTTGAAATTAGAAATATAATAATTAAAATTGAAAAGTAATACCCATAATTAAATACAGCAATCTTAAGTTTCAACTTCTTGATTATCAGTCTTTGTCTCTTCTGTTACATCTACTGCACTTGGCACTTTCTCTTCTTTTATTTCTGCTTGAGTATTTAAATCTTCGACTTCTTCACTTGCTTGCAGCTGTGTTTCTGCAGCTTCCTTTACATCTTCAACCTTCAGTTTTGAATATTTTCGAGATACCTGTGTCGATGATGTTTTTACAGAAGGAACGTGAATCTTTGAACTTCTTGTGACCTCTACTCTGCTTCCAATCTTTTCAACAGAGCGAACACGTTGCTCAATTGGTTGTTGAGATGTAGATGGTTTTACGTTTTCTTTATTCTGAGCGTTTGTTTGTATAGCTTGTTTGCCTTTCGCATTCGACGGTAATGGAAAGTACAATTTGTATTCTGGTGGCAATTGATCTTCTGGTATTAGCTTTTCAGTAAAGTAAATTCTTCTAAGGCGAATATTTGCGTTGATTTTTAGCTTTTGTACTTCTACATATTGTTTTTTGTATGCGCGACGAGTAAATTCTGCTAAATTGAATTGTATTTGATTCCATCCATCAGAAAGGCCGATAGGCATTACTGTACAAAGCGGCAATATCTGGGTGCTGCTTTGGAAATTCGATACTCGAAATCTTCGTCTAGTCCCAGTTTCGTCGAGGATAGTCACTTCAAAGGAAAAATATTTTTTGAGATTCTTAACTATCATAACTAAAAAGGGCATTGTAATTCCTAGCACCATGTTTCCCTTCGGACAGGTAATATATGTTGTACTTACATTGGTTCCTCCTATCTCTAATACCATAGACTTTATATCCTGATCTAAAAACCTTGTTATATATCCATCTTGAATATGAGTATCCCATATAGCTAAAGGTTTTGAGCCAACACTAAAGAATACCGTAAGCATTCCACGCTGGTAAGAATTCCTATACATAGCTAATGAATTTGTAGCATACTAAATTATTTAGTACTTTTATAGCAATATTGCGCCTCTCATATTCTGACAATATTATTTTTTATTCAGCAAAATGCGCGAATTTGACGCAGAACTAAAATAAAATAAAAAGGTTTTACTGCGTATAAAATAATATATCGTTTTTGTATTTATGATATAAAATAAATCATTGTTTGTGGATTTTCATTGTAGATGATGTCCCGTCAGGGGCGCACCACTGAATGTAACGAACTCGACGCCGGCGGAAATGAGCGCTTATAACAAATCCCTCCTTTATCATTTTGGGCTCTCACCGGTGATAAACTTTATCGTTCACCAAAATTTATATAACCAAAGTCATCCGAAAGTATCTTGGAACTAATAAAATTATTCTTCATTTACAGCTCGGTGACATTAAATCCTAACAGGACTTAATTCCAAAGAGAAATAGAATAAGGTGGTCTAGAAATATTTATGGCTTAAAGTGATTAAATAGTAGGAATTTATAATATCGAAAAAGTGATATTTTTACACCTAATTTATGTCAATTTTAATAAATTTACCTTTAATAAATATATTTTAGGCAACTACTACGGCACAAAATATGTTTAAGATCACTTTGCGATTAGACAAACATAAAGCAAGAATAATGAAACTGTCAGACTATATAAAAGCTTTCGAATAATGCGTAGAAATAAAACTTTTGAAAGAAAAGCTGGCTTTCGTTGTGATTTATCTTGCCATTTGTCATCCTCGATACTAGAAAAATATGTCACGCAAGCCCACAACTAACGTTCACACAGAGCCTGTAACGAAAATAACATTTTTGTCGTCTCTAAATCACGACTTTTCCTCTACGCCCCAGAGACAGGTCAAAAAAGTGACGAGAACAAAAGTACATGAAATAGTGCCTTCTGAATGTGGCGATAGGGTGCATTCGTGTATTATTGATGCTCGAGCTAATAACGTGAGGCACCACGGCGTAGTTCCGTAGCTTTTTGCCTCAGAATTTCGTTAGTGTGACTGGGGAGGGTCATTTGTTATGACTAACGATCTTATGATGTTTCAAATTGATGACGTATAAAAAATATGACGCCATATCAATATTATTCTATTTATTACGGTTTATATTTTTGAACTTTAGAAAAGCGCTTTTATCTACACCCATTGTTCGAGCTCGACCCAACTGAAGCAGAAATTAACTTACTAAGGCGGTTTAACCGCTCGAAAGTTTTTAAATACCCCTGAAAAGTATGTAAAGTCAATGAAAAAAATGTTAGAAAGTGGGAAAACGTCGTTTTAGATGTGCCCGGTGTATTTACAGAGCTCATTGCTCGGCGCACTGAAGCGTGGTCTGCATAATGTATCGAACGGTGCGCGATTCTTGCAAAGCTTTGTCTGCGTTATTTACAGCCAGCTCGTGTATTCACGCGGAAATTGGATTTGTAAAATAAGACACTGTATAAATAATCTTTATCTAAAACATATCTCAGTGGTATTGTTCGAAGTTAATTTTTTCGCAAAATCTTCTTTTCGCTGGTGCTCCAATTGTTTTAATTCATTGCACATGAAAAGAAGAATAACAGCAATGCTTTTGTTAATATTTTGTCATAATTATTGACTAAATAGAGACTCACACTCGCTCCGCTCGGGTTCGTCCCTAGTTACGTTTTACCGTTTAATATAGATTTCTCAGAGATGAGACATTTTCCCGCAGTAAAAAGTACCCTATAAGTTGACCCGGATAACCAGCTATCATCATACCAAACATCAAAATCTGTCCAGTGGTTTTCTTGTGATACGGTAACAGACAGACAGACAGACAGACAAAAATTATAAAAACTATAGATTCGGCCTCTCTATCGATAATAATGTCTATTTCAATTAGATTTTCCAAAAAATATTTAATGTACAGATTCGACTTAGTTACAATTTTATTATACCTATGTATAGATTACAAATTATTTTACTCTAATCTTGCCAAATTTTTATAGTAACGTATAGTAATTATACCTAAATTCTAGTAATTTATAAGAACGTTTAAATCGTATATTGTGGGCAGAAAATAATGATCATCGTTTCATATAGCCGGGTAGGGACAATGTATCGAAATTAATATCCGGGCCCGAAAGCCAGCGAACAATTTGTCCACCCGGAATGTGGATAATTAAAAGGGCCTGCTCCGTCGTACATGGAGCAAAAAATATTTGCTATAAGAAACTTACTTCATACTGACAACGATTAATCTGGTAATATATAAAATAGCTGCTATTGCAATCCTGAGAGCCCTCGGTGAATGCTTACTTTAATAATGACGAACGCGCCGAATCGAGCGACGTAAGCCTCTGAATTCCGCTTCATTTACGGCTATACATTCGCGGTGGTATCATGGAAATAAATACACATATGTATATACAAATACATGTATCATTTTAATGTAGTGCTTTCATAACTTCGTAAATCTAAAATGTCGATTAGAAGGACACAGTTTATACGAGACGATGGCGAATAAATTGCTATAAGCGTGTCCTCTCGTAATCGATGTTACGGCATTATGATGGAAAATGCGAAATAAGTCGGCCAATTTGCTCGTAGAGGATCGATAAAGCTTAAAGTACTATCGACGCGGTATAATAACAATTTATGGGCTGTAATATCCTTTTCGATGCGGCTAACGTTACTGAACATGAAAATAGGAGAATCTCTAAAAATTCTATTACCCTTGATGTATAGACTTGCCATCTCTGTTCATGTAACACGTCGATATTAGCATCATATATCTAATTAATTTATTACAGACTAGCATTGCCCGCGGCTCCACCCGCGTTTAGATGACCAAAAACCAAATTCTTAGGTTTTATATATTAGCATACTCATACAATACAGTTTTTGTATTTTTCTCACAAATGAGATATTTTCCCGCGGTAAAAAGTATACTATATGTTGACCCGGATAACCAGCTATCACAATACCAAATTTCATCAAATCCCTCCAGTGTTTTTTCTGTGATGCGGTAACAGACAGACAGACAGGTAAAAATTCTAAAAACTATAGATTCGGCCTCTGTATCGATAATAATGTTTGTTTCAATAACATTTTCCAAAAAATATTTAATGTAAAGATTCGGCTTACAATTTTATTATATGTATATTACATATATTATCTAAACTGTAATCGTAAAATCGTTAAAGTAAAAAACTTATCTTCATTACGCAATAATAAATAACTTGGTCAGTTGTCACGTTTTAAGTATATATGTCTTCATTTCTAAGTTTTCATAATAGAGTATGTTTAATCTTACTGTATACTTGCCAAAAAATATACCTAAGAAATTTATTGGAACATAAATTTGGCTCAAGAATTGAGAATTCTATGATATGATGTTAACCTCTAAAGCATGCCAAGATCTTAAAGAAAGTTACAATTCTTGCCAACTTAACAAGTATAATGAAAAAAGAAAACTTAGATGACATGACATAAAGCTTCTTAAATAAATTATGATGTACATATTTATTTTATGAAATTGAAAATATCTTAGTTCAAAATTATGTTGTTGTAATTATATATCATGTATTATGTAAGTTTGTTCTAGTTTAACAATATAAATCATGGTAATTTACATTCAAGTGATCTGACTCCAGCAATTCAGTTTCAACTAGCATGGGCGCCACGAAATTCTTAAATGTGTTGTATTATTAAATATAAATAAATAGGACATCTGCAGTATGTAACGTAAGTATGTAAATATACAATTTTATTATGGTAGCATAGATTTCTTAGGGTTGAGATATTTTCTCGCAGTAAAAAGTATCCTATATGTTGACCCGAATATCCAGCTATCATCATACCAAATTTCATCAAAATCTGTCTAGTGGTTTTCACGTAAAGCGTTTCCAGGCAATCAGACAGACAAAAATTCTAATTACTATAGATTCGGCCTCTGTATCGATAATAATTACTATTTCAATACGATTTTCCAAATAATATTTGAATCAAAATTTTATTATATGTATAGATTTAATAAATTACCAAAGACAATCTTCCTATATGTATTACCGGAAGTCGAGTTTGGATATCCACATGAGGCGGAAGCTAACATTATCTATCCACGGTACGATACAAAATAACATAAAGCACAAAAGCTGATATAAATCTGCCAAGTATGGAAATCTGCATTCAGTGTTACAAACGGTTGAAAATATTAGGCTAATATGTAAAAGTTATATACAGGCTTCGCTTGGTCTCATGCCAGGGTAGTAAATACGCGGCGGTGTGATCATGGACACAAATTTACTTGATATTTCATATATTGGTTCATATGATACAACGACTTTGCCAGTGTAGTATGATTTTACTTGAAAAAATGTTATTATATCCTTTTCTCAGATCATGTTCTGTTATTATGTTGGTACAAATTTTTATGTCTTTTACCGGTGTAGCTTTCATTGTTTGTCAAAATATATTTTTTTTATAATTATCCTTCCGTTTGTTTATCACTGTAATTTTTTATATATATATATATATATATATATATATATATATATATATATATTTCTCACTTATGGTGACTAGTACATGATTGTGAGACATCAATGAATATAATTATTATTTTCGCTAAACATTTTGTTCTTATAATTCATTTAAAGTTTTTATTTCGAAGGATTATTTGTCACGCTCGTTGCTGTAAAAGTTAATGTAATGTGAACAGCCCAAAATAATCCTCGGTATAATTGCTAGGGCGACTAATGACTCGTGTGTCATATTATTTCAAGAGCATTTCATATTTTATTTATTTTTGTAATACAAAATAACATTACTTATATTCACTACCTTACATTAACCAAAAGAATTGTGTTTTTCGACGCTAATTTTATGATATTAAAATTAGTTTGTCTGTTTATCTGCCTATATCCGCTAATCTCCGGAACAGCTAAATACAATTTACTAGTGCATTAAAGATTCATGCGTTTATA